AGACTCAAACAGGTCTAAAAGAGCTCAGTCTTTTTAACTTTGAGATACACTTTATGGACTGTTTTATAAGGCATAAAAAATCCGTTAATGTGAGCAAATAGAAAAAAAAGCTATGCTTTTTAGGATGTAGGCCATGCAGGCGAGTATTATTTTGCTATATCTTTATGTGCATCACGTTTTCCTCTATGCATATAAAAAGATGCTGTAGAAACTATTTTCATGTACATGATATTTGGTATTCTAAGAAGCTACTTTTAGCACAGCTCATTTTTCTGCTAAGTTTTAAGCACTGTGTATATTCATATAAATAGCGCTGAGTATCTTGTATAGTGACATCAAATATTAAAGAACAATAATAGAAGAGCTACTGGAACACCCTGTGAGGCCTGAAGCATTTTTTGCAGTGAAGGATGCACAGCTTCAGAACCCTGAGAACTCACCCCTAAATACTGTTCTTCTCCATCCTTCGCTCCTCTCCTATGTAACAGGTATTTTGATCATGGCAATATCATTACAACAATAAATCAAGCTGGCACATCTTTCTAATTCGATCTTTTGATGTCATTTGCCCTTTTGTCTCACGTTGCACTTGTGCTGGGAGTGAAATACTCCTTCTCCCAAAACAATCTTTTCCAGCCTCTTTTGTGTCCCTTCTTTTTGTTGTATGATGTCAGCATCACATGAAGGGAGAGCCAGGCTGAAATCTGTACCAGAACCTAAGTTGTGTATCTCACTTCTTGGATTTTGAACACTTACCTAGGCAGCCATGTGTCCCCACGTAGCAGTTTCACTGTGATGCCATCGGTAGCATAACCCGTGTCTGCTTCTGAGAAGAAAAACTGTTTCAGCAGATAAAGCAACAGGAAGCTGCTCTTGGATTCACCAATGAGGCAACAGCTCACATGTCTCTTAATTTTTTTTTTTTGCCTCTTTTTTTTTTTTTAATACCTTGTTAATCTAATCTTATCCATGGGAAAAAAGCAGCATAGTTACGTAGAAGTATGCACAAAGGATGGTACCAACCTTGGTAAATGTAGGAATGCTTTTAGTAAGTTTATAAAAGTTTTATTGAAAATATTGCCTAATTACATGAGTGGAGTATATTACAAACCTCCTATATAGGACACAATACATTCTGCAGAGAAACCACTCCACAGAAATAAAATACTGTGGCATGTATATGCATTTATTTGTGTCAACTTGTGTATGTTCAAAACATAGGGTCTTTTTTTGACTGAAGGACTTGTCACTTGCCTTTCCCAACAATTTTATCACAGAATCAAATAAGAATCCACCTAAGAAGAACCCATAAAATTATATCACAATGAATTTAGGAGTTTGTGCAAAAAGAATTCATTATTTTCAGAATTTATATTACTGTTTTTTTCCATTTGCCTACTGATGGGAGGAAGTTTGTGAACAGTTCTAGTTAACAATGGATAACAGAATTTTATGCACTGCAACAGGTTGCATATATATACATGTTTACATAAACTGAATCAGAGGTTGGATGAGGCTTTCACAGCAGTGATTCTTTTAACAGATAATTCTATTCAGTTAGACAGGTGGAAAATTGTTACATGAGCATAGCTCCTCTTTTCCCTCTGTGATCAGAATAATTTATTGTGCTCTCTGATTTTATTCTTAAATTCTGTTTGGAACAATTCAATTCTGCTTCTAAGAAACTGGGTAAAATTTCACTTTAAATTTACATCTATTGGCTAACACAAAAACTGGCCTCTTTGGTGATTCAGACGCTAAGGGGAAATGAAACAGATGAGCAAATTTAAAAGCTCTAAAATAGGACTTACTGACTTCCTTGAGAACATGTGCTGGTTTGGGCTGGGATAGAGATAATTATCTTCATAGAAGCTAGTATGGGGCTATGTTTTGGATTTGTGCTGAAAACAGTGTTGATAACACAGGGATGGTTTAGTTACTGCTGAGCAGTGCTTACACAGAGTCAAGGCCTTTTCTGCCTCTCACCCCACCCGGAAGGGGGGGACGCTTGGAGTGATGGCGTTTGTCTTCCCAAGTAACCGTTAAGTGTGATGGAGCCCTGCTTTCCTGGAGATGGCTGAATGCCGGCCTGCTGATGGGAAGTAGTGAATGAATTCCTTGTTTTGCTTTGCTTGGGTGTGCGGCTTTTGCTTTACTTATCAAACTGTCTTTATTTCAATCCACAAGTTTTCTCACTTTGACTCTCCTATTTCTCTCCCCCATCCCACCGGGGCGGAGTGAGCCAGCAGCTGTGTGGTGCTTAGTCGCCGGCTGGGGTTAAACCATGACCGAACAATACCAGGCAGCTTTATAATATTTAACCACCGGATGCAGAGATTTGGTTCCTTCTTTTTTCCAGCCAGAGCATGACTTTTTCCATCCACAGTTTTTCTACTGATGTGCTTGTTATATGAAGCCTAAATTATCAAATCATTCTATACTTGTGGTGAAAGGGAGGCATTCCAGCCACTTGGTTAGATTAATTTCTAAAATAAATTTCAGTCAAACCTTTATTTTTACTGAGAGAAAATTCATTAGACAAAGACTTCCGTTATCACTTTTCACCTGCCTTTTCCTAACATGGTACCTACTAAGAACAATGTCTAGTGAGCTGGTTCTGCTGTTCTGTTGAGGGTTCCTACATTTCACTGAAGAAAAAGCAGTTCTTAGCATTATTAGAAATAGAGAAACATAGCTGATAAATTTCTACAGTTCTTCACTGTAACAATTGATGGTGGGACTGAAAGATCAAAGGAAGAGGGGAGATGATACATTTTATACATTCTGGAAGTAAAGCTATCTGCAAAAAGCAACTCTTGACTGTGTCCATATGGAACGATTTAATTTCTGGTGCAAGCAGCACAGTTTTCCAGGGTTTTTTTTTGAGATCTGGACATACATGGTATCTCAAATCAGTCACCTCGGAACAACAGGTGTTCTTTGGGTTGGCTGAGATTAAAGTACTATCAAGAAAGAAAAACTGAGATAGAAAAGCATTATCAGTGGAAAATTATCTTATCTACAAAAGAAGCAATGAATAAGTCCTCAATAATATATTGGTTATATTTGGGCTTAAAAAGGGTCCAGATCACATGTCCTTGGGTCATGGACAAAGATGTAAGGAAAAAAACAGGTAAAAAGCAAGTTCGAGACTCCTAATGCAGAATAAATGTCCCACCAAAATATCTTCTTTCCACCAAAACAGATTCTGAGAATGTTTTTCTATACCAACTGAAAAGGGGAGGCACTCAGCACATCATAGGATGGCAATAAGAGTTTTGAAAGCTGACACTTTTAGGCTCCTATGAGTGAATAAGAGAGTGAATTCCACTGAAGCCTTCTACCTAGAATAAATCAATGCATTAATTTAAGAAATTATCGAAATTAATCAGTTAATAATTCATGATGGTTTTGCAAACCTTCCAGGTGTGCAAAGCTGTACAATCTGCTGGCATGAATGTGAATTAGGACCATGAGCATAATTCTGCCTCTGCCGTTGACTCACTGTAGCCTTGAGGAAGTCACTCTGGCCTTCTGCATATAATAATGACATCATATAGCTCATTTGGGCGTGAGCAGGTTCATTAGTTAATGCTTGATATTGCTGTAAAGTGCAAAATGTTTTGTGAGTGTTTAGTATTGTTATTAAAAAAGAAATAAACAGGAAACGTCAGTCAGGTAATGTCATCACTGAGACATCAGATCCGTCAATGACATGGACAAGAGAGGCAGTGGCTTGAATAACAGCATTCTTTATGGACAAACATGCAAAACCTGGTCTTTTCCACAGCTCTAACACACTGCCCGCAAGACATCAGCCACCACATCTCCCAGTGCCTCGTTCCTCCTTTAAGCACACGGAGAGCATTGCCTGTGTAAAACACTGAAGTCAGCAGACAGACAGTTCTCCTTTAAGGATTTTTATAGGGTAATCAAGCCGATAGCCAATCTCCTGATTACTTTTCCTCTGAGTCGAATGCTTTCATGAGCTGGAGCCTGAGGGAACACCCTGGCTATCCTCACGGAAACTTTTAACGTGTGGCACAGCACCATCTCAGCTACTATTTTTACGCAGTGGCCATGTAGCATGCCCCATGAAGGCTGTAAAACTGAAAGTCTTGTTCAGCCACGCTTGCGGCGCAAGTCGAAAGCCACTTTCAGGATCCCCCTCTAGCTTCCTGCTGCCGCAGCGGCGGATCGAACTGGGGCCAACTGGGATTCCCAGGGAAGCCGGTGAGGCTGCCAGCACCCCTCTCTGGGGCAGGGCCACTCCGGGCCTGGCCCTGTGCCCCAGGGCCACTCCCAGCTCCACTGCCTGTTCCTGTGCAAGCGATCAAAGGTTTTTCTCGCAACGCGCTGGAGTTTTCTCCTTCGAAGTACCGATTTTTGCCTACTTTACGAGGGATTTGGTGGCAGCCTGAGAGCAGGGTGAAACCGGGACCCTGGCTGCTGGTGAGGGCCCGGGAATGAGAGCTTCACTGGGAAACCCCATTCCTCTCCCAGGAAAACTGCCATCCCTTGCCAGAGGCCCCGAAAAAAAGATCAGTTTGGTGTAGCTCTCACAACGTGGCTGCTCATGCTGCACTAAAAGCAGTTTCCCTGTGTGTTCCCAGAGAAACCCTGTCCCGCCGTGACGCCCACGACGGGCCTCGCCCCACAGTCAGTCAGCTTTCCCATACCCAAGATGGCTCCACAATAGCTTCACTCGCCATTCGGTGCCCAATTCCAGCATGGCGGTACGCTTCCCACCAGCCAGCACTTGCCTTGCCCTTTTTCAAAATGGCAACCACTAACTTCAACCCGGGGGGGGGGAGGAGGGGTTGCCCGGAAGGGCTGAAAGCCTTCCCCTCCCTTCGTCGCCATTTTGCTAAAGGGAAAGGCGACGGGTGCTCACGCCCCGCCCCTCAGGTGATTGCCAGGTTGTGCGGTCACGTGACGCGCGGAGCCGGGCAGTGGCGAGTTGCTGTAGGGACGGGGCGGCGCGGAGCGGAGCCGGTGGGATGGGGTGCGCGGCTCTGCTGTGGGGCGCGCTCCTGCTTGGCTGCAGCTGGGGTCCGGGCCCCCCCGGCGTCGGTGCCGCTGCGCTCTCGACGGCCACCTACGTGCTGGACGATGCCGGCGGG